TCTCCTCTTCATCCCTGGCCATCTCCCCATGTACCTTTTGCTGCCTTGTCACACATCCCAGCCCTCAGGTGACTTTTTTTTCATCTTCCTTTGTCTACCTGGGAGGTTTCTCTCTCCCTGACACGCATTTAAGACAAGATCCCTCCTGATTCTTCTCTACTTCCTTTGCTATTCCTCCAAACACACACATAAGAGTCTCTGCGTTTTAGAGTTTCACTGCTCACTATGGGGAAGTTTAAGGGCTAACAAAAACAAGGAGGGTAGGAGGCTAGAGAGATTCAAGGATGTCACAGTGACTTGTCAGTTCTTTTGTACAACATCAGGGTTCGGGGAGTGAACAAAATAGACAAAATCCCTGTGCTCTGGAGCATTCATTCCCTGGGGGAGATGGACAATAAACAAAACAACCAATTCGTAAGGTAAATAAACTAGTAGTAAAATAAACTAGCAGAGGGACTATGAATGAAAACAAAGCAGGGAGGAGGGCTAAGAATGCTTTTGGGAGAGTGCTTAGTTTTAAAGAAGTAGTCAGACTTTGAGCAAAGCCAAAAGGAGGTGAGGGAGCAAACAAAGCAGCTATCTGTGGGAAGGGCATTCTAGGAGAGAGAACCACTAGTGAGTGTTAAGGCTCTGAGGCGGGGGAACAGCAAGGAGGTCAGTGTGGATGGGCAGAGGCAGAGCGCTCTTCGTTCTGCAATCAAAACGAAAAAGCCCTGAATCTGAGCCACACTGATCTGGGCTTGAATCTCAGCTTGGCTCCTTAAATCTCGTGGACCTTGGACTCTGTCTCTCTTCATCTATACACAGTTAACCACGAAGGATAATTGCAAAGGGTTAAAAGAGATACAGAATGTAAAAATACCTATCATAGGACATGGATCATGCCCAGTTCCTACCCACCACACATTAGTCCCTTGCCTCTTCCCCTGGTTACAGGGCTCCTCTCACCTAGCTCCCATTGTGGCTGAATAACACACATCTAGAAGTAGGCCATTCACGGGCCTCTAAGAATGCAAGATCCATTACCCCGTGGAAGAAAAAAAGGCCCTGCAAACCATAGGGATCTACGTATAGTATTGTTGACAAACAGTAACATTTCAGTATCCACATTAAAAAATTTAGAATTCATACCAAACTATTTACTGACTATTGCTGAGGGTAAGATTACTAAAGATTCTAGCCACTGACCTTCTACCTTCTATATTTATGTAATGCTTAAGCATTTTACAATGAGTACATACTATATTTACAAGTAGAAATCACAATACAGGCTAGAGTTGATGCTGGAGAAGTGACTCCCTGACCCTCTCCTAGATCAGTATCGAGTAGCCACTATTCCACCTCACTTACCCAAGCAAGGCCTGCCTTGTGGGACCTAACTTTAGGACCCCTTACACCTTCTATGTGGGGAAACTGGGTGCAAATAAGGCCAAAGGGAGCTACAGATGAAGGGTTCACAGATGAAGGTCCTATGGGAGTGTGCCTGGCCAGCAACTGTGAACTCTGGTCCAGTTTGGAAAGGGGATGGATTAACTCATGGATTGTGAACCATTTTCTTAATAAAATTAAAACTCTTGCAATGGCTGCCACTATGGAGAGAAAAAGAGACCAATGAAAATAAAGTATCTTAAAGTAAGCTGACTGTGAACTTCTTTTATGATTCAAGATTGTTGACACTGAAAAAAAAAATCTCATTTTAAAGAATACTAAGTTAAGAATATTATAACAAAAAATACATTTCACAACTAAGTAGCTTACAAGGTCAGTCAAAGAGATAAATAAGCCAGTTTCCAGTGTCTTACTCAACAGTGCATTAAAATGTGCATTACAATCAGTCACTGCAATGCATGCTACCTATAGCTTGGAAAAATTTTGTTTTCCTCACCTCCAAAAAAACCCCAAAAGACACTTGGTGAGGGGAAAAAAATAATGCTTAAGCACTCTTAGCTGACCATACGGCCTTTCCCAGTTTAGATATATGATTCAAGAAAAAAAAAAAATGTAGTCCAGAAACATTTTTACATTCCTCAGATTGACTATTGCACCCAAAAGGATGCTCAGCTCTGCATTAAATAAAATCCTGCTTGAGGGTGCCTGGGTGGCTCAGTTGGTTAAGCGACTGCCTTCGGCTCAGGTCATGATCCTGGAGTCCTGGGATCGAGTCCCGCATCGGGCTCCCTGCTC